AGTTCCATTACCGCATGATGAACATGTCCCTCTGCTTGTTAGTTACAAGGAGGAGGGACTAGCAAGGATCAAACCTACGTACATGGACACGCCTTTAGAACAAAAAAACTGAAGCAACCTTAAATTGATGAAAAATTGAAACCACATTACAAGCCCCACTTGTACATACACCTCGTACTCTGCAATCAAAGGACTATACTAAGCCCGTGGGAAAAATTTTGCTGGTGGATGACATGCAAATGAATTCCACACACAGTCCCACAAAGCTTGAGAGGCCATCGGCACTAAATAATACCCAAAAAGCCCGTAGATCACATCTTTAACTCATTAAAACCCTCATCAGCTTAGATCGGTACAAAATCCTTTTTAAGTGAATTTTAAAAGCAGCAGCAAAGAGTGCAGGGACGTTCAGTGCTTGGCACGAGAAAAATGGTTATCATTAGGATTCCTCTTGCCACTAAAAACGGCAAGTGCTTTCCTCACAGGAGGCTGAAGAGGAGCTCTCTTATCCGTATGGTGGATAAATATGTCATCAGAAGCAAAGATATCATCCCCCTACACAACAAAGTACCCCGTGTTCTAAGTCAGAAGGAAGAAATTGAGAAACAAAATTAAGATAGGCAACCAAAAGATAATTACTGCAGATGGGGAGAAATAAAACAATTTCGATACCGCCTGCTTATTCTTTTTCTTTGTTTTTGGATACAGAAACTTCTGCGGAAGCTGATCTTCACGTAAAATTGGATTCTTGGTGACAGCATCTCTGCCCCCTTGAGGTAAAGGCAGGGAAAACTGCAACATCCCACAAACCAAAACAAGATAATTACCATCAAATGTAAAATAATGATGCTTATATCTGCCAATTATTGCCAAATTCATTATAAACCATAAGATCAAATTCAAACACTCGAAATTCAGCCATAGATACTGATCGAATCCAGATAATTTCTTTTATTATTTACCCAATCAGCCTAATGCTTCAAGTTTTTCTTCCTTAGTTGTTTTTCTTGTTACTCTCACAAACATCAACGGACAAATAATTGTATTTAACAAATCAAAGAGAAGCATAAAACAACATCATTCCATCTAATTCAACAGATAACTAGAACAAAAACATAGCTGCAAAATTAGATTCATCAACAGTGCTTAATGATGCTTATAAGCCAGCTAACATTAGCAAGGATTTAAAAACCATAAATCCTGGACTTGAAAAGGCACAAAGGGAGGGGAAAAGAAAAACTAAGGAACCAATTTCTTGTCTGAAAAAAATTTACACCAGGGAAAAATTCCAATGTTTAATAAGTCACAATAAGTGAGCCCTTTTTCCCCCATTTTCCTTCTCACAACTTAAAAGGTAATGAAATTTATCATGGTCCAACATATACACAATACACTTCCTAAAAATTCTTCAAAGAGAAAAAAATTAACCCAGGTACTCACTTTTGTTCCACGCACTGATACACGTGGTCGACGTGCTGCAAGTACGACACCATTTTCACCAACTGTAACAGCAACTTTGCGCAAAGTGCCTCCATTTCCACAGTTTGGACAGAAAACTCTACCAATATCCGTAGTGACCTTGTAGCATGCATGGCACTTAAGCACCCACCTAAAGTTACAAATTTAGACAAAAGTAAGCATGCATTTCTCTCAATTTATGAGGCCAGAGAAGAACCATCCAAACCTAACTTAGAACACTGATACATGCAGCAATTACAGGCAAAATTGCGCTACCACTGAAAAAAATAATAATTAAAACAAAAAAAAAAGATTGAGGAAAGGCACAGTGACAGAAAGAAGCAAAAGTGTATTCTACATACCGGTGCAGCTCTCGGATTTGCATTCCTCCGGGTGCTAGGAGGCGCAAACCCATCTGCAGAATCACATTTTGCATTGCATAGTCACTAGTTACACAGGCCACGCTTGATTCAGACAGAGACCGAAGCATCCAGCTCTGCTCACTGCTATTATCATCCAGTGATGCACCAATTCTTTCACTATTCAGGCTCAAGTTATCAAGTCCACTACTGATACCTGTCACTTCGCCTTCGCCTCCAATGATAGCACTTTCAGAATTATCAGAACTAACTTCAAAATCATTGGAAATGAGCCCCCTAGAGGGTACTTGCAAATCCTCATCAGCATGAAGAGCAACAGAAGATTCTTCATCAAGATGCATTTGGTGCAAAATTGCAGAGGCATCCTTATCATTGTCATTCACTTCACTGGTGGCATTCTCACCTAAACTCCCATCAGCAACCTCTTCAGCACATTCTTCCACTAGCAGCTCAGGACATTGTGTGTCATCAACTTCTCCACTTTCTACATTACCAGATGCATCATCTTTAACAGCTTCATCAGACAAAGCCTCATGCAGTTCACGTCTAGCTTTTCTTCTCAGATATCTTCTACGTGTACTTCGACTCACAGCAGGCAGCCAATGCCCAACATCATCACCAAATTCCCCTTTCGTTGCATCAATTCCATCTGCCACCATCTTCTTCCCGTCAACCTTAGCCTCAACTTTCTTACTCGAGTATTTCTTTTGCCACCTAGGATTGCCATTTGATACCTCTTGATTTTCAGAATGACACTCTCCACAATGGCCGGTCAGACCATCTTCCATATGTTGATCTTTGGGAACTACATTCAGGCTCAAATCTTTCAGGGGAAGAATTTTTGACTCGTAGTTTGACTCATCCTCAGCCACATGCTCCAATGCTTCCCACTCTTCCAGATTAGGAACATTAGAGCCCCATCCAGGCATGTCTTTTTCGGGCAGCCTTTTTACACTAACAGTGTGAATAGGTGGAGGACTATCTCTGAGATGCTGGGTTCCATGGGTTTGAGCCTCCAACGTACATGTTAAAGCAATGAGCTTAAGATCCACATCTGAAAGTGTCTGCAGATCACCAGTTGCCCTAGCAAAGTGAATAACTGCAAAGTTGCACGAGAGAGAAATCAATGATACAAGTGAGAATCATCTAAAGAACAGGAATGAACTTGTGCATCTGTTTTAACAGTTTGACCTTTAAGACAAAATTAGGCACTAAAGTAAACCGCCAAAATCCACCAAAAGCCTTTTTGTAGCTGAGATGAACACTATTTCATGAGCCATGATTACCTCACATAGAGATAGGGAAAGAGTATTAGGGGTTGGGAAGTATGTGTTTTGGATTACTCTCCTCCTGATTTTGTTCAACTCACTGGAATAGAACAATGGTTCAGCTACAGAGAACTACAACATTGTCAAAGTGAGAGATACCAACAGGAAACAAGAAACACCATCACCAATAAATGAATCCAGTCATAATTACAAGACTTGTCACACAAGGTGCTACAATAACAAGCTTTATTGCATATCAATGAATTAAAAGCATTTTGCATCAATGCCTAGACTTTATCGTTATTACTGGAACAGGAAATCAGGGGAAAAATCATGTCTAGAATTAGCACAGCTCTCCAACTCTTATTCCAACAAGACCAACACTGCATCAGGAATACTGAAACACAACCATATACAGCAAAATCGCATCCAAAACTTTGGTGACTACCGAAAACGATGTTAATATATCCCACTTCAATGAGCTTGTCCAATTCAGATTCTAACCAACAATGATTCTGCTTGGTCACTCAAAAATCACTCTGACTAACAATAACCCAGTTCTGCTATTCCTATCCATCATTCTAAATAACCAAAGAAAATTAACAATTCGACATGAACAAAAGTACCCTAAGAAAAAAAGTAATCTACTTTATTTCTTGTTTCACTCATTTCAGCTACTCGCCCCAAAATTGCAATAAAAAACCACCTATAACAGCCGAAGTAGAGAAGCAGACATACAGCGTTGAACATTCTAAGCTCAAAAGAACTAAGTAAAGGCTAGCACAATTGCCATTCATATGCCGAAAAACACATCCAATAGCTCGATTGACAATCAAAAACCAAAAAAATATATATATATTCGGTCTTTAATCAAGTACCTTTTTTGAGGGCATCAGGGGAGGGCTCCAAGGTATCAACTGAGAAAGGTAGGAAATTGAGGGAATGACGAGAGGTGGGGTCACGAATTTCGCTGATAACTTCAGAAACCGAAACGAAACGGTCGGCTATGAGGGCCAGCGATTGCCCGCCTTGAATTATAGCGTTGGCGTCCACTACTGCTACTAATATTCCCTTAGTCGACTTGCAGCTCCCAACAGCTAATCCTTGAGTCGACTTAGGAGAGGCGGAGGAGGTGGCAGAGATGTGGTCCGGCACTGGCGGCGGTTGATGCTTGACAAGGTTGCTCCAAGTTGGCTGAGGTGAGGCTTGGACCTCCATGGCTGTGGACTGTGCGTGTTCGTTGAACCCTCGCTGAGCCCTAGCGACGAATATACTGAAATTAGTGGGCTATTTGCATGCTTGGAAAATTGCGGAAAACGTCCCTCACCTTCGATGAAAATAATTTTCCGTACCTCACATTTATATAAAATGCTGATTTTACATCTCTCACAAATGTCAGTCAGCTGAAATTCGTCCAAACCCAACCCTCACAAAAGTCAACCAGCAGTTAGATTAATTCGATTATTATTGATACTTCTAATGTAGCCAACAAATTTGTTGAGACACTCAAAGCCAAAGGTGATTTAGTGAAAGTCTCATATATGTGTTTCCCTGAGAGGAGAAACTAGAAGTAGCTGTTTTACTCATTTTGGATAGTCATTTATTTATTAAAATTTATCTGCTTGCATCAATAATATCCATAAGTTCAAGAACTGTTCCGGCCGCGGCAACCGCTGTCGCAACTCTTTCTTGCCGCCGGAGAGTGGAGTAGTGGAAACTTTTGTCTTTTCTTTCTATTAAATTTTTTGGTTGGCGAAGGTGATCTCGCACTTGATGCATATGATAACTAAACTACACCCCCATTTACCCCGGAAATTGTTCTCTATGCTGATTTCATTGCAGACTGTAATGACTGCTTAACCCATACAGCTTTAAACAACCTAAATGTTGCTGACTGAAGGCCAATAAGATATAAGCATCTTATAGAAATGCATAATTCACATACCATAAAAATAATGCTTCGAACACTGACGACCAGACCCATAACCTCTAGTCCGGAGCAACCTGTTACATCTTCAAGAGACGAAAACTAATGAATTCTTTCTTTACTATTCAAAGGTAGAAAAAAGATGCAACGATTTGCTAGTATTGGCCTGGTTGATTCCAGTGACAATAAACATCTTCTGATAATAATGGTTGAGCAAGTTTAAGAATGACAACGAAGGATCCAGCCACTGCAGTTTTTGCTGTGATGAGAAGCGTGGCAGAATATGCTACAATTCTGCTTTGCACAGGGAATCCCAAAGTATGCCCAAATCGAGATTGCCCCCTGAAACTATTATTCCTATATGCTCACTGTCCTTCCAAGCAGGATTGTTCCTGAAGCTATCAGATAATACAGCTGCAAGACCAATGGCTCCACTTGGCTCCACTGCAACCTTCAAAATCTCATAACAATGCCTCATGGCTTCCACTATCTCACTATCCTCAACCACAATGATATCATCAACCAAATCCCGGACGACAGGCCTGCTCAAAATAAAGGGAGAATGTTGGCACTTAATAAAATCCATAATAGTGTACCAAAAAAAAGAACAAAACATCCATCGGTTATGAGGGGAAAAAATGCCTTAGGAACATCATTTCATAAACATGGTTAATGCATGTAGGAAAGACAAATTAGCAGAGCATATTGATGAGCAATATCTGCATAATGGGAACAACAATTGGCTGATTAAAATGTCACAAGTTAATGCATGTAGACATGTTTGTTGACAGGCCTTCATGTTCATACCAAATAAATTCTCAAAAAACGATAAAGACTGTGCTCCATTGGCAGAAAAAGACTTGCATTGAACCCTTTTCCCTTCTCACAGCATAGAAATCATGGTTACCATGTGAATTCTCCAAGAGAAGCTCGAAGCCCATCAGCTATGGTTTTCGTTTCAGGCAATTTAACAATCTCACCAGCTGCTTTTGACTGAGCTGCATCATCTGCGCCCTTAGGTTCAGCTGCCAAAATTCGAATGGAAGGTTTTAGGGACTTAGCAGCTATAGCCACCCCAGAAATCAATCCACCGCCTATAAGATAGAGGTTACAAAAATCTGTCATTTACCAAAACAAATATAAATTGTCACCAGTAGTGCCTTGAAAATAACATACCGCTAACTGGGACTATGATTGTGTCAATTTCTAGCACCTGCTCCAAGAGCTCCAGTGAAATAGTACCTTGCCCACTGCAAAGACAAAGCACGCTGTTACAATTGTAGAGCTTCCTCTTCTCTTAACTTTATTCGTGCTATGTTGCTTGAGCAAATTACTATTTGCATATAGCACTTGCAACTTTATACGTAGTTAAAGGATAATGCTGTTTGAACTAACCACACTGAGACCATCCAAATGGCAAACAAGAAAAAAGGAAAACAACGACAACGGTAACAGAAAGAGACAAGTAAACGATGAGGAGAACCTTATAATTCGTCCATCATTATATGGATGAATCATCACAGCACCAGTTTCTTGTAGTACCTTTGTTGCAGTTTCCTCCCTGGACTCAATGGCAGCCTCACTCCAGATAATCTGGCCCCCATAACGCCTGATATTCTCAACTTTGCATTTTGGAGCATTTTTAGGCACGACAACATACGCAGGAATGCCGCGTATTTTTGCAGCCAGAGAAAGTGCTGCAGCATGATTACCGCTATGTTGGAATATCAAATCAGGCAATATTCAGATATAGCTATCGGGGATAATAAAAACAAGGAACCAACAAGCATGGGAAAAACCTGCTATGAGTTACCACCCCTTTTGCTGCCTGACTATCATCAAGTGACAATATTGCATTGCAGGCCCCTCTAAATTTAAATGCTCCACTAAAAATCAGGAAAAATAATAGGACCCTAGTTAATACACAGAGATGCTCTAAAAATTGCACTCTTTAAAATGCTATATAATCACGGACAGAACAATAAGTTTCAATGAGACTACCACTGAGCGTAGACTTCTTACCCCTTTTGGAAACATTCACATTTAAAATATAGCTTTCTTCCACAAAAGGAATTTAAGGTTTCTGAGGAAAGGACTGGAGTTTTGTGCGCATATGAATTGATACGGAGTTGTGCTTCTCTAATGGAAGAAATATCAGCAGCATATTTCTTAGTGGATGTTAGACTATCCGCTTCCATCCTACAATGTCAATGAGATATAGACTTTTAAACATGATATTTCAACCAAATTTAACTTCTCAAACCTCGAATTTCAATGTGACCAGTTCATTAGCATGATGAAGGGTCGAAATCTTGGCAGGAAATCAAAAAAATGAATTGGTGAAAGCTTGCAACAGCTGAAAGTTGAAACATAGAGAAAAGTATTCACCACAATTGTCTTAACGAACAGACAAAGAAGTCAGCAAACACTTTGACAATGATAGTCACATTTTACTAGAACTATAGAAAACACGAACTATAATGTTTCACCTATAATCATCTTAACAAGATCCAAAGAGGCCATCTCATGTATTTCCTGCATTAACCCAGATTATGATCAACAAAGGTATCAGCTTAAGATAGGTAAATTAATCATAAACCCCAGTAACTTTCCAGTTTATCATGCTTCACTACTATTATTATACCAAGAACCAACACAAGAGATGCAACAATGAAGCTTCCTATTACCATAAGAAGAAATAATTAAGCACAAGGATTTCTTATATAGCTAAAGCGAGCCTCACAAATTGCGAAATAAAATAAAATCTCAAATTTCAGAAAGGCGAAAAAACAGTAAAGGGTTATCTAAAGCTACCATCTTGAAGCAAATGGTGTTCCTGAAAACCCAGAACAGTGAACCAGTCACAGTCAATAAATTTACCAGCATTTATGCTACATGGGGTTCTTTAATAATCAGGCTAGTAATGAAACCCAGTAGGACAAAGCTGTAACAAATTACCACGACCTTCTTTTTCAAATACAACATAGTATTTCTGCATAGCAAGATAAAAATTGGGATTCCAGTAAAAGGAAGAGGGAATAGAAAGAAAAATGTCAAAGCAGAATTAGAAAATCTCTACAAAAGAAAGATAATTGTTGTCAGTGGGAATGCATTTTCGTAGGTATCGAAGAACTTACTGCTGCAGATAAGTAAAATTTGAATTCTCTCTCTCCTGGCCTTTGGCTGGGGGAACCGGGGTGGAAGAGGATCTCTGCTTGCCCTGTATTTAAGAGAGAGAGAATTATTTGGGAAGAGGGTGTTTTTAGAGGAAAAGAGAGAGTTACACGGAAAAAGACAAAGGCGCGAATTGTTAAGGCCAGATCTGGCCCGCCTTCGAGGACCTATATGATTTCACCTTGCGATCGGATACAAGGGAACTGTTTCACGCCTTCCTTCAGGAGATGCTAAATCACCACAGAGAAGGCGTTGACAGGGGAAACTGAAACCAATATCACGCCTCTGCTGCTGAAAAGGTCGTAGACAATCACAGCTCTAGAAAGCGTCTAGTTTCCAAAGAGATTGTGATCACGCCTTTGGACTATAGTTTCTTCCTGTCATTCGTAAAAAGGATAAACAAAGCCATAATTAATAATGAGAAAATTGTAAAAGTTGAGAAAATAAACCAACTAAATGGATGCTTCACAAGTGAGCAATCTAGAAGCACTAGCAAAAAATTGAAGCCTGGAGATAAGTTTTATGAAAATTATACTCTTAAGTAGGAATCATTTAGTATTAAAACAATTTTTCAAGGTCAAAATTTTATGCTCGTAAATAAGATTTTTCTTTTAATGGGTTTCCCTACTTTCGTAGCCCAACTCCCCATCTTCAATCAGCCCAAAAGAAGGATGTCACTTTGGAACCAAGTTTGAATGATGATTTCTGCTCGAGTTTGTCAATTTTTAGCGGCAGATTTCAGTATAACCTAGGCTTTTGGCCTCCTTTCTGACCCAAAAAAAAAAAAAAAAACTCTTTGAGTTATAGGTTAATCCTTCCGTACAATATTAGTGTATATATTAGCAGTAGAGGTGTCAAATAAACCCATTTAATTAATTTTACCCATACCCGTCATATGGGTACATTAAATTTTTATATATAGGTATAAATGGGTTATCCAATTATACCCATTTATTAAATGGGTATAATTGGATAATTTATCAAACCCAATTAACCCATTTAACTTACATTCCCGAACTTCTTTGTATTTTCAGTTTTCACCGTCAATCTTCTTCTCCTCCCCACCAGCAAGCCCACTGCTTCCCCCCCTCCCCTTCCTCCAGGCTCCAGTGTTTGATTCCCCTCTCCCTTCTCCCCGTCTCTGCTTAATAGAAGGTTTTTGCCCCTTTCATGCCGATTCCTGAGCTGATCTATGAATAAACCCGCGGTGTCTTGAAGATTTTCCCGGAGAATGTTAAGAGTCTGACCGTTGCTCACCACCTCTGCAAACAGTACCCACAACACAACCACGACTACTGCCAAACTAACCATTAGATGCATGCTACATAATTCATATTTGAATTTGAATTTCACGTTTTGCTGATGTGACATATTTTTAAACCCACTAATGTTTATACTGACAGTTTATGAAACATTAATTCAATTATTATTAATATTTTTATAATTTGATATTATTATTATTGTTGTTTTTTTTAAAAAAAAAAAACACTTCGAATTTGGGTCTGAGTAAAAGCATCACAACAGACATCTATATAATTTTTGAAAACAACAGTTTGCAATTTATATCATATACTAGTACAAGATGATAACACTCCAAATTAGAGCATGATATCAGCTTCCCTCCTGCATTTTGGTTATGAGACGTATCTTTCCTGGGATAATAATAATAATAATAATAATAGATAGCGTTTACTAAATTTGGATTAGCTGCTTGCAACTAATTGGTGACTTCAATTTGCTGTAGATTAATTAAACCGGTATTTGGTCGAGTTGATGGTTATGTTTAAGGTTTTAGATTCGGGTACGTAACAAGAAATAATCTGAAATAGTTTCTTGGGGAGAAAGTAAGATAATCCTTTTATGCTGCCGTATAAGAGATTGAGCCCGGCTAGATAATAAACAGGAGGAAAAATGACAGAGACCAAAGTTGACCTTCTAACCAAACATTATATATTTATTCGGCAAAGTTTCGTATATAAAGAGGAAGACAAGGGAAAAGATCTTTTTTGTTTTTTTTGGTGGGAACAAGGGGAAGACAATAGACATTTTGACAGAAAGAAAGTTGACTTTTTTCTTCTTTTGGTAAATAAAAATTTAAGCAGATTCAACTCCAATCAGAATCACGGGTTAAGGCATGTCACCGAAATTATAAATCGTTTACAAAAACTTTTACAAATCACCCACTAACACAACTTTCATATCGATAGCAAAATTCGAACACATGACGATTTATGAAAAAGTAGATCGTTCTTGTTAATTGAGCCAATCTATATTAACAAAGAAGATCGAGTGTTCTTTGTATCTGGACGGTTTTTTGAGAAAAATACAAGGACGGACACTTCAATCGAAAGGGAATAGCCGATTAGCATACATTTATGCAACAGAACTACTGCTAGACTATTGCGGAAAAACATTAATAAGTCATATATTGCGGAAAAACATTAATGGACGGCTTTAATTAAATGAAGAACATATGATCACTAATGAAGAAGTCATATATCATCCGCAGACAAGGTTGATGGGAACCGAGAGAGAGAGAGACCAATCTTTAACATTAAGAAGATTAGTCATCAGACTGGTTTAATTTTTATTCTCAATCTAAAGTCAATGAATGTTGCAGTAAAGTTGATTACTACAACTTATTAGCTAATAATTTGATTGCAATAGTTGTTTCTGGGGAAAATAATTAAATGAACTAGGATCATCTGGGGTGTTCATTTTCGCCCAAGTCCAAAGACGTATGAGAACAAAAGAATAATCAGAAACAGAGTAAAGACCAAGTGATCTAGGTACATATTTGATTCCTTCGAATTGATAAACGAAGTGATTCCTTCGAATCTATCTGAGTCCGAAATGAGGAATCTTTCTCCCTGCTGCAAAGGAGTTGAATATTTGATTACGGCCAGCTTTGTATGAAGCCTGCCCAGGTACCGTTTTCAGTACTTCAGCATATACAGGCAGGCTACACCTGACGTTGCCCAACTCAAATTGATGGCGATATGATTCCAATTTATTAGGGACTATTGCAGGTTAGTCTGTGGTAAGTTGAATATCGTTCATAGAAACCTACTGTTTGAGAAACCACGCCATTGGTCTCGAGCTTCACCTGGAATGTGTTTAGTTCAGCTTTGACTTTTAAATGCAGATATGAATTTCCAAGAAAACATACAGAAACCACAACTTTGGCTGACCACTTCGACAAGAAAGGCCTGGTTGTTACAATGCCAAAATATCATGCCTAACTTTTCGATTATCAGTAACGCATTAAAACAAAAGGAAAAATCATTCAAAACGTCTCTTACATCTCGTCAAATGAATTTTTTGTCCTTCCTTTTTAAAATGGTAACTTACGTTCCTTAATTAAGTTACATCCCATTTACAGTAAAGTAAGTAAATGAGACAGAAAATTTTAATCATTCAATAAATGTTTTTACTCTGAATCTATTATGTGACTTAGACATGGTCATTTTTTTAGAAATAGAAAGGTTAAATACCATTTATAGTACATTAAATAATCTGAGTAGGATATATCTTGAACCATATTCATTTTTACCGATAACAAAGCGAGATCTAACCCAATTTATATTTATTTTTGTCACTAAAAAAATAAGATATGATCTTTTTCTACATAAAAAATGATTGCATGTATGATTTTAAACTTAAAAGTGGTCGAAAACTTAAGTTGGAACAAAAAACTGATAATCTGAATTTGTAAGGATGTAAAGTTAACATTTAAAAAATGAATGGTGAAAAAAGTCATTTAATGAAGTGTGATGGACGTTTTGAATGAATTTCCCTGAAATAAATTAACGTCCGTCAATAAAAGAAATAGTTATATGCATCATGATTTCGATCACTAACATACTTAATGACATACTTTTTATCTTGTGTATCATTGTTAAAAATCCAGAGAAGAATCTGTCAATCTTAGTTTTTCCCCGGATGTGGCATGCAAAAATCAGTAGAGATTTCGCATGTCTTCCATTTTCCTTTGTAAATGGAACTAGTAACACATACCTTCACATCTTAATTAAAGTACATAATTCTAAATTTCTGATAAAATTTTGAAATTCTAAAACTTCCATCCAAACCTATTGGTCTGACCTCATGGCGGCTGAAATGGGTACCTCCAATTCAATAATTCACAGCGCATTATCCTAAAGTTAATAAAATACTACGTGAAAAGAATATGATTAAACATTTATGCATAATGTATTAGTGGATGGGCCTGCTTCAAAGTCAAAACGATACTCAACAAGCCCGGAAAATATGGATCTCGGGCCAAGCGCTAGAGGTCCGCTTTCAATGGAAGAAAACCGTATCAACTTTATGCTTAATCCTCACCAGCTAAGCGTTAATCACGCGCACTGATGGACCCGACATGCAACTTCACCTCATCCTTTGGTTACGATGCTTACATCATCGCAATCGCACATTTATGATGATCGCAAAATTCTGATTTGGACCCAGTAAATCATAGCCGTCGGATGTCTGCGCCAGAAAAGCATAAGAGTTTTATGTGGCGTTCATTTCTGCACTCTTTGCTTTCGCAACCCAACTACTGCTACTCCCCAAAGTAAACATAATCACGAAAGTGTCCATGTTCACATGTTTAAGGGAGCCACTAATTTGGAGATGTTAAATAATGGGGGACCAAATTATTTTGTATTGGATTTTCATTAAGTTGTTGATTTGCTTATCTGCACTTAATGCGCTGATATGGATTATCTACTGAAAGAAGTACTGTATTTGTTTCGCTTTATCTTTGCACCTTTAAGAACATGCATTATATTTGCAACATTCTATGACATTATGATGTCAAAGAATTTATCAAACGCATCTTGAATCTTGATTAGGAATATACTTGTGAGCCCATTCGAGTTACTGTCTTCTGGAGTTTTAATAGAAAAATATGACATAGTGATTTGATATATATAAAGTAAGAAGATAATTGATAAATGTATTCATGAAACGTAAAAAATTTTTAGAAAAAAAGGCAATTCAAACAAATCAGACCGCCTATCATTAATTTGGTTACAATATTTTTGTTAGGATGCTTTAGGTGTACATATTTCTTAGCGTAAATAGAATAAT